CCGGGAGAGATGGGAGCCCAGAGCATGCTCTCTGCGGTCCCTGAGACCCTGCGGTCCCCCGCGGCCCGGCGGTCAGCCTCCTCTGAAGGGGAGCTGTTCCTCTCGGTGGAGCAATCCCAGACTCTGATGGGGCTCCTCGTTGCTGCCCAGCGTGATGATTCCTGCTTGTTCCCGCAGCAGCCGCAGGGAGGTCCTGGATCAGGCCTCCGACACATCTTCGGCTGCAGCGTTGAGGCCAGCACCAGAGCTCCCTGTGCCTACGTGGCCTTTGGAGTTGCGAGCTCCCCACATGGCCAGGTCCAGGCCCTGGTGGCTCTGGCAGGATTCACGCCTGGTGTCGCCTTTGTCACTTCCTTTGGGGACAGTGTGGGAGCCGCGTTCTTCACTAACAGTAGGGGTCAGCGGTGTGCAGCTGTCCAAAGTTCCACAACATTCAGGCCGTGGGGACTCCAGCTGCTGGAAACAGACCAGAGAAGTGGACCACCCAGAAGGTGGCTGGAGTGGTGGGTCGCCTCCTCCAGGCTGGTGGTCAGGTCCCTGGACACCGTTTCTTTTTGGTGGTCTGAAAATCAGGCAGGGACTGGACCTTCCGCAGGGGAAGTTGGTTGCTGGGTTGAGCCCTTTGGCAGACACCCCCATTTTCCTCCTGCAGATGAGGGGTATTCCATTCTCACAAGGGAAGGCCTGGCCCATGGGAGACTGAAATCTCCTTCCAGGTCTCAGGTGGATGCACAAGGGGACTACTGTGGCAGGTATGCCTGATGCCCACCAGCTGTGACCCTGTGGACAGTGGCATGGCCAGGGCCCCCACCAGGGGACAGCACGGACACCCTTAAGCAGGGTTGGGGTGGCAGGGACGTGCTCGGCCATGGTCTCGGGCTCCCCTGCATTGGGCTGGCTGCATTTCTTGAGGCCTAGAGTTGGTGGGGGAGATGGTTTTGTGCTTTGTGGGGGGCCCACCGCAGCTTCCTGGGGGACCAAATCGAAATTGGCAGACACCTCGTGGCCTAGAACAGGCGAATCCTGGAGGGTGCAACACCGTCTTCCTCTAGGTAGCTAACTCCTCCGATCCTGTTCCTCTGCCTCTGCTGGGGCAGCGGCCTCCTCGGTGGGACCCGTTGCCCGAGGCTGTTCCTTCAGTTCACGGGGCTGCCTGGAGATGCCACAGGTATGTCGGGAGATGGAGATTCTGACCATTTACTGTGGAGCCCTGGGAGGAGACTCCCGGCGAGAAAGGACTGAGCAGGCATAGACGGGAGCCTGGCTGTGCAGGACCCGGGCCTGTGGTGGCACACCCTAGTGTGTCTGTGCAGTCGCCTCTGGTGCTGGGCTTGTGCTTTGAGGTCTGAGGGTCTTCTCGGGGGGGAGGGAAGCGGGAAGCAGGCCCCGCCATTTGCTAGAGGCGGCCTCATCTCACACTCCTGGTCTACTCAATCCCTGGTCAGGGGTACCCACTGGAGATTCATGGGGGGCTTTTGCTGCTTCCACTTGGAATTGGCTCCCATCATGTAGTTGATCTTCTGCAAGTGGACTGAGAGTCCCAGAGAAGGCACCACAACCATTAGAGCGGCATCAGTGTGTGTGTGTCGCCCCAGGTTGCACCAGAAAGGGCTTGCTGGGCCCCTCCCTGATGCTAGAGTGTACCCCATATTCTCCGAGGAGGCCAATCATTGGATCTGGCTGCTCTGCTTTCTGGCCATCTTGGGGGGAATGGAGAAGACAGACCTGAGGGAGCATCTGCCCTTCCCCCACATGTCAGCCATGCCCCCTAAATGTCAGCCATGCCCCCACATGTCAGCCATGCCCCCTAAATGTCAGCCATGCTCCCTAAATGTCAGCCATGCCCCCACATGTCAGCCATGCCCCCTAAATGTCAGCCAT